GGAAATCCACAGTACAGAAATAAGGTGACGGAGCAGCATCGTCAAGATCCAAAGGCAGAACTGAGGGTGTTCCTGAGTATCAGGCTATCTGCCCAGTAGGAAAAGCCCTGTGTTTGATTCTCAGCATGGCAAAACAAAACCAAACAAAGGTCTAAGAGAGGAAGATTCTGAGCTCAGTCAAACTGTCAACCAAGGGTGTCATGAAGTCAGTGCTGCCTATGTGAGAACTCACCTTATCCCCCATTCTGCAATATAAAAAAACATATCTAGGGGTGATACTCCAGCAAAACTGACAGTTCTGAATATTGTTAACATGTAAGGAAACTCAGGGAAAAGGATGGTATTTGCACAAAAGGAGCAGCAACTCCCCATGACTCTGCTGAAGGGGGAAATCCAGAGGGACAGGGAAGGGGTCATTACACTCCTGTGTTCCTGACCCTGGGGAATCCGGCTCCTTCCTACAATCAAAACACACAGCCAGATTATGCGGCTGAGTGACATTTCCATGTCCACACTGGCTTCATGCCTTCCAATATAGTTCAGTCTTCTAATTGACCTCTAGTCAGAATCTAGAGGTAACTACACTTCTGCAACAGAATGCAAATCTTCTAAGTGTTAAGGTAAAGAAAGTAGGTAATAGAATATTGTTCCACTGTATGCACTCTGTATGAAATGGTACACAGCATGCCACATGCAGTGCTGTATATTATACTGTTAAATACAGTATTTACATTTTCATTTTTGAAACAGGGTCTCATTATGTAGCCCAGGCTGGCCTTGAACTCTTGACCTTTTTCTCAGCCCCCTAAGAACTGGGAATGTAAGCATGTGCTTCTATGCTTGGGTAAACTTTATTTGTAGATATATATATTATGTACATATCCTATAACAAAGTTATTTTGCATAGTGTTTAAAGCATTATATCTTGGTGCTAGAAAGATGTCTCGGTCAATGGTTAAGAGCATTTGCTGCTTTTGCAGAGGACATGGATTCAGTTCCCAGTATATATGTGGCAGTTCCCAACCATCCCAATTCCATTTCCAGGGGTTCTGGAGGCACCAGACATGCCTGTGGCACACATACATGCATGCAAGCCAAACAATCACACATACAAAATATAAAATAAAGTTTCCATGGCTATTCAGTGCTTTGCGTAGTATGTCAGCCTGGAATGTTAACACTCAGGAGGCAGAGGCAGGAGAATTGCTGTGAGTTCAAGACCAGTCTGATCCCCAAGAGTGAGTTCCAAGCCATCCAGGAGCTACAGTGAGAAAGTGCCCAAAAGGAAAAAAGAACAAAAAATGACAAGAGAAAAGAGGTTTGAACTTAGAATTTTAATATTTATACTAATCTAGAATAGTGTATATGATGGATATATGACATATTACATGGTATAATACATACAATATAGCAATATATTATATACTAAGTAGCACATAGAGTATCATATGGGATTATGTATAATTGAATTATATATGCTACTATATGTTATTTTGTAAGTGTTTTACACTGTCAAGATCTAAATTTAGATGCATACATAGTATATATTATATAACACCATATACTAAAAATAAATGCTATCAAATATAGGATTATCATTTTTGTTTTTGTTTTTGTTTTGAGACAGGGTCTCACTACGTATCCCTGACTGGTTTCAAATTGGCAATACCCCTGCCTTGGTCTCGCCAGTGCTGGGACTGCAGATGTGTGCTACCAAACTCACAGAAACTGTGAGCTCTTGACTGCACGTGTTAGTTCCGACTGGTTTAGGTGACGCTGCCTAAGGGATGAATAGCATCTACACAGAGATTTGGTAGAGGAGATCTGAGGAAAGGCTTGTGGGAGGGCATCTGGCTCACACCCTTCTTTCAGAGATAACAGACTTACCTGGGGCTCAGAGAGGGATGATGCCGAGCAAGAACTACCAGCTGAGAGGTGTCCCAGAAAGGTAACTGCCCACAAGGAGGCTGAACACCAATCAAAAAGAGGAAGCCTGGACCAGAAGCTTGACGCTGAGCTCTTAAAGAGCTTTCAGGAGAGGAAAAACATTTAGGACAGCCGGGTAGGCAGGTGGCTGGACTTTAAAGAAGCCTGGAGGAATGAGAACAGATTCTCCTTGCTTAGTATCCATGAGAGCTTAAGAGAGGCAGATTCAGTGTAGGCAGAAGGTACCTTAGAGATGCTAGAGAGGACACTGGACAAAAATGTTTTTTCTGAGCATTTCCCATGCATCCGAACAGTGTGAGGTCACTGCCATGAAAGCCCTATGAAGAACAGGTGTTCCAGTTGCAATGATGGGCTGGGTCTGTAGCTGTAGTCCCAGCATCTGGGAGAACAGGGAAGGAGATGGTAAGTTGGAGGCTAGCCTGGGCTCCACAACTAAAACAATCTTTTAAGAAAATAATAGAAAGAAAAAGAGGAAGGAAGGGAGGAAAGAAGAAACTGGGGAAGGAAGGGAGAGGGGAACAAAGGACAATGATAATAGAAGGCCCAAGACCTAGGACTTGCCCAAGCCCTGGAGCTAACAAATAGTCCAGCTAGGAACTGAGCCTTTCTTGGTCAGTTTAAAATGTGAGTTTATGCAGAATCCAAGGGCTCCAATCAACACATGCTGACATGCCTTTCCTTATTGAGGAAACAATGTATGCTGCTCCATTCTTGAGCCTGAGTAGGAAACCAGCTCCTCTGCACAGCGCAACACCATCTGGGTGCTTTGACTGCCCACAGAAATGAGCCAAAACCCATGTGTTTACCCAACAGGACTCAGAAGATCCCCACCTGGGAAAGCATCTGGAGTTTGGGGTCCCCTTTTCCCCAGCTCGGAGCATCGATGGTGCCTCCTAAGGACGTAGAGACTGACCTCCAGCCTCTGGATCTCAGAGACATGGGCCAACACCCAGCGTGAGTCCAAGGAGGAGGAGAGACGCTGGAGCCATCAGTCCGCACATCCTCAGCCCCGCCTTTGTCCTCTCACCAACCTCAGACACACATTAACCGCCCTAACTGTCCACTAGACCTCAGCTAGCCTCCACAGCCCTTTCTGTGTCTCCCTGGGAACTTCTGCCTGCACCGAGCTTGGGGGCCAGGGAGGCAGGCAGGCAGCCCCAGGAGAATATGTATGTCAGTTAAGGTTTGTCGTTTACACGTGGAGATCATTAACGAGACTTATTTTTAAATTGTAATTGCAAAATGTAAATGCTTCCCAAACTGATGTGTAATTGCTACCCCTCCACCCCAGCCCTTCCCCTCTGCTGCCAGCTTTGCAAGGAGAGAATTAGAAAATAAAAAGGGGGTGGATTATGTAAGCAAAACGATTTTAAAAAAAGAGAGCGAGAGCTAAGAATTTAAGTGAGACAGCTGGCGGCTTCTCTGATTGCCACACTTCCAGCATTAGCGACAAAAATTGTCCTTGCCAATCGCACCCATCCAAGCAGTAGTGTCAACTCTGCTTAGTCTTCAGGACACTCCATACTGCTGCTCACTTGGAAAGACAATTCAGGGGTGAGCTGGTGTTTCTGGGAATCCAGGGATAGAGGTCAGGTTCATATTTGAATTGGCTTCCATTTTCTTAGTGGAAGCCCCCAGAAAGACACAGCTATACAGGAATTATCAGTCAGGCAAACCATCTCCCGTATACTAGCAGCTATAAAATGGTACAGCACACAGGCTAGCCTGTATGGTCCCGGAAACAACCTTAGCCAGGAGAGAGTAGGGCTGTACCAGGCAGTCCATGGGGAGAGCCACAGTGCCTCCTCAGTCCCAGAGAAAGTTGCTGGACTTGGCTTCAGAAGGCAATACTCTCACACTAACTCATCACATCTGCAAGCCTGGTCCAGGCTTTCTCTCCATCTTTTATGTGCCTGCCATAGTTCTTGAGGTCTCCTCCTAGCCTCTATGAACACATACCATCACTGTGTGCTCAGGCTCCAAATGCCAAAAGGATTGTCAACCATGATTTCAGGGGAATTGCTCCCCAAAATGTAGTTCTGTTTTGACCCATGTGGATGTCCGCTCATGGTAGAGCAGGCTGGCTACCATTACTACACCAGCACCACAGTGCTTCTGGACAGGAAGTGGGACAGTCATGGCTGCCTGCTCTTCCCTTCTCAGATACAGCCACCTACGAGCACCTGCATGTACTAACTGCCTGCTTAGGAAACTAGGGCAGCCTCTTTCACTGCCTGTGTTGCCAACTTTCTCTTTCTTTACAAGAGAACAGGTTTTTCTGAGCAACTTGGCAATAATTACCAACCCCAGAAGGAAGGCTGATGGACATTGAGCTTTACAAGGGCTCTAAGACATCATGGAAAGATACCAATCCCAGACAAGGCCCTTGGATGTTGTGGCTGGATCTTACCATAACAAATCCAGCCCCAATCATGGCCTACAGGAAATAGAAAAGGGGATGTTTTGGATAACTGGGTGTCTAAATTGCCAACTAAAGTGCTATGTAAGTCTGTGGGGTCTGAAGGGAGTTAAAAGGCAAAAAGCTAAGCTACAACAAAACCTATACCTTCTGTGAAGCTTGAAGGAGAGTTTTCTTTTCAAAGTACTTAATACAGTCTAAAGAACTGTTTCTCCAAAACCATCAGAAATACCAGGGTGCAGTTTCCTCCATACTCATCAAGTCCTTTGGGGTGCATATGTATGGGTCCTCACCTACTTCACAAAATCCATCTCTGACTTCAACTGGCATCTGTCACCAACATCCCTGGGTGATTCTCAGGTAACACTTGCTCCAGCATTGTGCAAATGTGATCACCACCATGGCTATGGGCAATGGCCATCCACTTGTGCCTCACGGAACACGAAGTATACAGAGAGCACGTGACAGGCCTGGCTAGGGAGGCAGAAAGATGTGGAAGAGCCAACAGTGCTTGCTGTCTAAGTGTCTGCTCAGGTAACCAGTTGGTGCTAGAGGGGTTCTGAGGGAAAAACAATACATGTGTCAGAAGGGGCAGGGTTCAGCCTGTGTCAAAGGACAGAAAAGCAGTCCTTACTGTTGGGTGTTTCCACCGCTTCTGGGATGGTCTTCAGGGGGCTTGCCCCCTCTTCTCACTTCCAGCAGGGCCAGAGACTTCTAGTCAGCTCCAGAGAGAGTACCTGCAGAAGGAAGAAGACAGCAAGTCTCAGGAGGTGCTTCAGCACATGGAGGACTGTGCTCTCTCACCCGCATTCCTCACCCCTAGGACATGGCCTATTATAGAAACAATGATTCTACTTCCTCTGCACATGATCTCTGTAACTGCTGTTGAACCCTCTCTCCTTAGCATGGCTGCTGAGGCCTGCCCAGATCTCTGTAGACCCCACACTTTGACCCAGTTGGACTTGCCCTGTCGTTGCCCTGTTGGTTTCCTGACCTTCTGTCGACTGGTTTCCTGATCTCCTGTCCAGCAGTGGAAAGGTCTCCTCCAGGAGTGAATTTGGACACTGGGAAAGTTGGGCCAATTGTAAGATGGGAACTCAGAGGGAGAGGGAGCAGTGTCCAGGGGGTGATTGCAGGCTAGGCTTAAGCTAGGTGTTTGAAGGGACAATGGTTGGGTGAAGACAGGAGGGGCTTGAGGAAAATAGGGAAACAGGGAGGAAAAGTCAGTAGAGGGACAGACTAGAATAAATGAAAGGCAGCCTGAGGCTTAAAAGGAGCCTTGGATCCCTGCCTTTAAAAGTTATTTTTAGGTTCAAGTGAATTAATTCTGTGAATTAATTTTCACAATATTTGAAATGAACCACATCTGAGGCAGAGTCTGGGTGGTCAGCCTTGCTATTATGTCTTGACAGATATACCCCAACCATCTCCTGTAGAGGAGTTGCTAATTTGACTCCAGGGAGGCTCTGCTAGGAACCTCCTAGGATAGAGCGAGGGGAGGGGGCTACTCTCAGCTGCACTTCCAGGGCAGCTATGGGCAGTAACTCTAGCCAAGAGCCCTAGCCCTGTTCTTGAGGCACACACATCTGTATCATCATCAGCCCCTTCCTAGTTAACACCAACTTAGTAAAAACACATTTGCACCTCAGTAAAGAATGTAATTAACTAGTGGCATGACAACAGGGGCCTAGACAGGCAGCTCAGGCTGGGGCTGCAGCAGGGAAATAAGAAACTAGACATCTGCCTGAGCAACAGGGCTTTTCTCTGAGTGTGGAGGGATGTGGCTTTCTTTCCAGACTGGTGTGTGTGTGTGTGTGTGTGTACATTGCTGGGGAGGTGAAGGTGGCAGACAGACAGCATCCAGAACCCTAAGGGAGGTCTGAATTCCCAGTTGCAAAAGAGAACAAGGTAGGATGTGCTAGGATAGGCTCAGCTTGAGAAATGTAAACAGGTAGCCAGTGCATTTCCACTAACAAACGCCCTCTGGGTTAAAACAAGCTCCCTGCCTTCTTCATACCCAAGAAGAGATTTACTGAGACACATTTGCAGATTACTCTGGCAGCTAGGAGAGCCACTCAGACAAGCGAGAGAAGTCAGCACCAGCAGAGAATGGGGCACTGTTGGTACCAAATTACTCCTGTCTTACTCCTTTCACCCTGCTCCTCCTCTGTGTAACCTTGTTCATGAACTCTGTAATGAGTCCCAGGGCTCTGGACACAGAGGCTGCAAACCTGGGAGGCATGTCTGATTCTTCTTCTCCAAGATCCACCCGATTTTCACTTCCTGTCATTATTCTTTCTCATCTCTTCCTAACGAGAGACAACTTGGCAAGGAAGTTGTCTTTCCTCCTTTCCATTCCCAGTGGCACAGCCTAGGCAGCGCTATCCTCCCCGGCCACACTTGTCATAGTCCTTCCTGGTACAGACCATCAGCCCTCTGTGCACCCACAGCGGTGACTTATCTCTAAGCAGTGAGCATTCACAGCCTTTCGTGGGCTTACAGCTGGGCCCCCACTAGGCTGCCCAGTGGTAGCTTGCCATGGGAGTCACTCAGAAGAGGTCTAGTGACTACATGGGACCTTTCTCTCTAGATTCATCCTCCTCTACACCCAGAGTTCATTACTCTTCGCCCAATTGTAACCACTCTCCTGTGCCACACCTGGCCCACAGTTTCCTGGTTCAATACTCCCATTCTGTATTTCTACCCAAGACCCTCCCCATTCTCAATGTCCATCTACGTGCCATGCTGCTTGTCATTCTCTGGAAGCATTTGCCATACCCTGTCTCATGCTATGGCTATCTTACATCCTGTCATCTCTTTCCAAACTTGAACCTCTTATAGCCAGGAACCACATCTTACAAGTTTTCGGTCTCCAGAGTACCTTTACAGAAAATATTTAATTCTTAAAACTAATCTTAGAAGTAACATTTTATTATCTTTAACAAAGCACATACACTAACTATAGAAAATACATAAATAAGAAGAGTAAAGTCGTTAGTTGTAATGGTATAATATGATGGGCACATTTTATATTTGAAATAAAATATTGTTTCTTTAAATAGTACATATTATGCACACAAGTTAGTATTTGATAATATAGTGCAAATACTTTCATGTAAGGGGAATTTATTATTATTAGTAGTAGTATTTTTGTTGTTATTATTGTTGTTGTTTGAAACAAGGTGTATCTGTGTAGCCCTAGCTATCCTGGAACTCACTCTGTAGACCAGGCTGGCCTCGAACTCAAGAGATCCATGTACTTCTGCTTCCTGAGTGTTGGTATTAAGGCATGCCACCACTCCTGACTGGAATTCATTATTTTAATAGCTATATGACATTACATTTCATGAATGTGCTAGGATTATTCACATAAATTTTTATTTTGTTGTTTAGATTATTTCCAGTTTTGCTATCATCAACTAACACTGATCATTGTTGTTAGCTGCCTTTTACTCCAGGCCCGATCATTTTCCTGGGGTAAGCTTTACGTGGAATTGCCAGGTCCAAAAATGCATTCATTTTAAAGAACTTTCACAGCTTCCCCACAGGAGAGTCATACCTATTCATGTCCTACTGGCAGCATATGAGAAATGTCTTCTTCCTTGCCAAGTCATTCCCATTTTATAAACATGGATAAAGAGGCTTAGAAAAGTCAAACACAGGTATGTCTGTACCACATCTTCTGGCATTAGAGGGTTCATATATCTCATCTCCCCTTCCTGCTCTCCTTGTACTTAATGCAAAGAGGACACTTGCAGTTGGCAGTGCTGATTCAGTGTTCTGTTCCTCAGAGGGGAAGACAGAGGTAGACATGCAGAGAGAACCATTCCTAGAGCTCTGCCAAAGTCATCTTCCCCATCTAGTTCTCCATGTCTCTGAGGCTGATAGGGCAGATGGGAAAACTGCTGTGAGATGCTGTTTATGATACCCCCTCCCTTCTTCTGCAAAGGTGCAAATTGCTTCAATTTACCCTGTGTATTAAGAAGCTATCACGTGCCTGGGCCTGAGCCTAAAGATGGGTCGATCAACCTCCAGCCTCTCTTTCCTTCTTCCCCTTCTAACCTTCTTATTCTTCCCCCCAACCCCACCCCACCACCTTTCTTTTTCTCTTCCTGTCCTGAAGGCTTCATATTCCAGTGGGAAAGATTGGTGGATAGGAAGTACCGTGTACTGCCATGTGTATTTGATGATGTTTCTGGCTGCTGCTTCACCATCCCCTCCTCTGTCAAGCATGGGGAGACAAGGTCTGGGTCTGGGCTAGGTTCAGAGCTCAGCAAGGCAAGAAGCCCTGCCTGTTCCCATGTCCTTCAGCCTCTGCCTCTTACCGTGCTCTTTAATGCCCTGGAGAGAGCGTGTGTTTGTGGGTGGAAAAGACCTCCCTCCTGGGGTCCTGCTGCAATCCCAGGCTTCTGACTCCTGCTCTAGCTGTACCCTCACCCATCCTGGGGTGACGCTGGGATTCCCTGGATGGGATCCCAAGAGAAGCCCACCGGCTTCCCGCTCCACTCCGGGATTAATAAAATGCACGTTAGCGAGAGGAAGAATGATCAGAGGTGACACCAGCATGCCCCTGCGGGGGACACTGCTTCAGGGCTACAATATACATAGATTTCTCCTTTCCCAGAACTGACAAGCAGCTATCACCACTTGTTTCCCTGCCGCCCACAGAAAGCTCGGAGGCAGAAATATAGCCTGTAATCTCCTTTCTGTCACCGGCAGTGATTCTGCCGAGCATAAGAAGGGCAGCTCGCATGTCAGAAAGCTCCAAGGAAGATGAAAGACAGTAACAGGGCGGAAGGGAGAAAGAAGCAGCAGATGGGCGGTTGCCATCCTTCCCACCTCAGCCACCTCAGTGACCACTGTGTTCCTATTCCACCAGGGCAAGTACCCCAATGTACTGTTCGTCACTATTCAAAGTCCTTCTCCTTTAACATGCAGCCTGGGACAGCATTGCCTGATTTTGGGCTGGAGCTGGACAAACAAACAGACTGATAGTCAGGGATGAGTTATGACGGCAGACTGAAGGACACCCAGAGAACTGAGCCCTGTGTGACCTGATGGGAAAATCCGGATGTTTAGGAGACTAGGAAGCCAATCAGTTTCAATTTGAAGATAAAGTCCCTTTCATCTCTGTTACTTCCCCAAACAATGGGGTGAAGCTTGAAGCTCCTTAGTTGCACCAGGTGCCTCCTTGCTGCCCAAGTTCATCTTGGCTGGGCTCCCTCTGACAAGGAGGCCACTTGCCCAGAGAATCCCTTTACCAATTTTGCCAACTTGTGCTTGGGCGATTTGCAGATGAGCAGGGCCATAATAAAGAGAGCCGCTGGAATCTCTGGTCAGAGGCCCAAAGTGAAGGCCTATCCCCTCCACTTGTGGAAGTTCCTCCACCCTGGTGTCCATCCTAGGACTAGAGGGTGCTGAGTTCTTTGCTAAGTGGACCAAAGGCCTTGAAAGAGTCTGAACTCAATCTGGAGGCCACTTGAGGGTCAGTAAGCACAGCTGTGACAGGATATAGTTAGTTTGCCTACAATGTCCATCCTGCAATTCCCCAGTGGGCATCTGTAATAATCCCTTCCCTGTGTTGGGGTGCGCAAGCTAAGGAGGTACAGCAGCTAGCTCCAGGTCTGCCACAGGTGTGTTCTGTGACGTCGGACAAAGTCTTCCCCAAGTCTGAAATTAGTTGCCTCATCATCCTTATCATTGGCCTCATTGTCTTCTCTAAACAAGAAGCTGGGCT